TTTTTTTCTTGAAAGGGTTCAGTCTCCTTATACCAAATATAAGATAATGCAGTGCTGAATATACAAGCATTTCCCCTCCTCTTTTATGTTCCCAGAAAAAAAAAAAAAAAAAGTCTTCAGAATAACTCTGTCTCACCACCTTTTTCAGCTTAGGAGGGCAATCAGTTACTGGAAGTCCTTTGTAGCTAATAATTATGTCATTTATTTTACTGGCCATTGTAGGGTTACTGATAAATGGGGCACTCCTGAATGTAAGGTTATTCTGAACACATCTTCCTGCCTGACACTTGCTATCTTTGTTGAACAGAAGCCAAGCACACCTACTGCAAGCTGAATTATTATGTAATTACTAGAATATACTACAACAAAAGTGCAAAAGCTACATATGTGATATGCTTTCAAGAATAAAAAAAAAAAATGGTCATTCTCTTCTGTTGGAGAATAATAAGAAAAAAGTTTAAATTAACTTAGCTTTTACTACCTTGTACAAAAAGTGATTTTTAAACCACCTTAGACAGTGTATTTAAACATAGCAAAGTCATGGGAAGTGGTTCACTTGGTTTCTTAGATATAGGAACATTTTAAGTGGTGCTGACACAGAGGGATTCCTGGTAAACCGACACTTAGAATCCAAATGCCCAAGTTTCCATTACAGCTGCAACGCAGTGCATGCCTAAAGGTACAGGTATTACCTACATTTCCTCAGAGACAAGGCAGCATTGCTAACTTGCTAATTATGAAGTGAACTGGTAGTTCTTACCTGGTATTCTGCAAATGCTGAAGAATGTGTTATTAGACACTAAATGCATTAGGGCTATTGACATCCTGAAATGCTCCATTTTTAGTAAGCTACCCTACCACCTGATATAACACTAAAATTACAAAGATCATATTCATGAAATGAAACAGATCTTCCTGGCATTTTACCCAGGCTTATAATAAACACAATATCTTTTTAATAATATATTAATTTGGAACAATTTATAGAACTCTCCCTGCATTTAGATTTCTAACTAGAAATCTGTGTTACCTGGGAGCATATAATGAAACAGAATTAGAAGAGATTATGTAAAAATGGAATGCACCATATTCTAATACATGCACTACAGTACTCCCTCATCAATAGTTAAAGAAACCCAGAAAGATCATTGGCAAAATACCATAAACAGAGCTGAAGTAATCCAATGCTTACATAAATTTTTGTTTTAAAAATTTTAACCGGTAATTTCTAATCTCTTCTATGTTCCTAATTAATGAAGGAGATAAAACATATCAGAGACATATTATTAGGTCTAGGCATGAAACAGTTAATAGCAGTGCACATGCCAAGGTTTTAATAAGGCTTAACAATAAAAAGCTTCAATCCTCCACTTTCACTAGATTTTGTTGTTGTGGTTTTCCCTTGCTTAGGGCAATCCATCTGTTAATGTTGACTCACAATATAGTGAAGCTCGCGCACATATAAAAAGCCTAGAACAGCTAACCTAAGCAGGAGCTAGCTCAAATGAATATTACAGAGATAGAAAAATTCATCTTAGGCAAAGCTTGATGTGTGTGTGTGTGTGTGTGTGTGCATGCACATGCACTCCAGCACATACGAGTACATTCCTATTATTTCTTTTTTTAAGAAAGACTTTCAAATTGCAAATTATAGGAAGGTAAGCTGATCACTACAGTTGTCAATAACACATTCAATGATTTATTCTCCGATTAGGTTTTGACAGCTATTTTATATGCTATAATTTGTTTTGATTTACTATTAATTTTTTAAAGCCTATTGCCAAAATGGAAAAAAAAACACAAAACAAAACAACAAAAACCACTATGACAGCAGTGCTAAAGCTTAGTAAATATTCATTGTTAAAAACAGCTCTGCACTGTGACCAGTGCTGGTACTCTCCCTGGGCCAAACTGGCCTTGTTTTCAATAAAACCAGAGAAGTATCCTTTCCCTTGAGCCCTGTTAGGCTGAGGCTGCAGTTGGAACTGTCATCTTCACACAAAAGCAAAGGGGTTGGGTTTTACAAACGCAAAGCCTAATTGGGAGATCTTCATGGCTGTACTCTTGACATTTATTAAAGCCTCATCAACAAAACAGGAAATAACCGCACTAATTAGCAGACCCACATACAAGCTACTATTTGTTGGGGTATAAGAAGATGCAGTACCTATTGTAGAGGAAACATCCTCCTAGACCCCCAAATCCTGTTATGAACCAATAATGAAAATGACCTTTTACAGTGAAGGAAACTTTTATCTCATACATAACGTTTCAAAGTAAATAAATTTCACAGCATCTCGGATAACTATTACTAAGTATTTATTTATTTACTTGTTTATTTCTGTATTTCCAAGAAGTGGAGAATGAAAAACCCAATGCATGCATCTGAGATGACATAAATATAACACCAAATTAGTTATATTTGCAACTTTAAAATGTTTTGTTATGGAAGAGATAGTATTAAAGTGCTGAAGTGCCTATTGTTTGGAAACTAGATTACTATTAAAAGCAATCTCTCTTTTGTTTGTTTAGGTTTTGGGTGGATATTCAAGCACTGACACTGCAACTTAATCAATATCTGGTCCTTACTTAAAATATATGTCAAAGTGTATAAACTGCACCTTAGCACTATTCTTATGCTCCTATAGACACTCATTGGCACCATTTCAGAAATCTGGACAGAAAGAGTTACAGAACAGAAAGATTAAGCCTGACAACAATAAATGAGGTGAATTTCACAGATTGCTAAATGGCAGATTCAGCACTAAATCAAACAGCCTCTCATACCTATGTACTTGTGAATACAAATATATATATATTTATTTGGAAGTAAAGTATAAAACCACACTTATTCACAAATAACTTGCTTTTATGTTATCTTATTGAAACACTTACCAAGAATAAAAAAAACCCCACAAAAGTAGCAACAGAAGACTACTACTTTTTTAGAAGTATTTTAGTAGTTTGCTTTTGGGGAAGAGGAAAAAGTGGGTGAGTGAGAGGTGAAGGAAACTGTGCAAGAGCCAAGTTCTTGAGGAGTAAATTACCTTTTGCTCCTTCTGGCCCACTGGCTACAGGTGGCACTTGGGAGAAGAGCTTGGGAAAAGACACAGGACCTTCTGTTGGCAGCAGAGCAAAACTGGGGGGCTGTTAGCTACAAGCTTTAAGAGTAAAGAAACCTTGTATGTATACATATAAAATGTATGCGTATGTATACATACAAAACAGGCATGTGCGTATGTTTATATATGCAAACAAAACTAGGGAGTGACATGCACTCCTGTCTTGTTTCCAAAACTAAAAAACAACTGGTAGAAACAGCAGTAGTGATATTACAGTATTTAGCAGTATACAGCTGTACACACACAAAAACATACAGAGGTTAAATTGTTCTGTCCGAACACTGGCCTTCAAAAGAAATGTTTAATTGCACCAAGGTAAATTATAGTCCTTTGTATCCCTAGACTCCTTTATCTACCAGAAGGCAGCACTACCATATCAGTAAATTACTGCAGATTTCTTTAATAAAAGCAATCTGTAAAAATTCACTGACTAGGGGTACGTTTGCTTTATGTATTTACACAGATACACACAATTGCAGATTCAGCTACACCAATCTTTGAATTTTGGCTTATTATGAATTAAAAGCTTCCTAGTGCCTCAGCTTATCATATTATTTTGGTGGAAGAAAAGTTGCTACATATTAAAATGACAGTCACCTATTGGAAACAAGTATTTTCAGTCTCACTTATGTTATTAACATTAGAGATCTATACTTGTACATTCACAGAATTATCTACCTTCTCTTCTGATACCCAGTGAAAAAATCTAGTGTACCTGAAACTACTGAAAGAATGCAGATACCACAATTGCCAGTATATAAAGATACACATAGTTTAACATTTTATTACTGGCCTTAAGAGATCACAAAAACACGTCTGGAATAAAACCTGCCTTAATAATTAAAGCAGAAATCTTTGTATTATTTATAAACCTGCTAAAAATAATTAATACTAGTGGACAATTTCAACATTGTTTAGCAATAATGTGCACCAGTTCTATTTTAAATTTCACAAACTTTATATTTATTGCAGACAAAAACTATCTCAAAACCAAACTGATAAAATAGACAATTCAGGTTTTTATCATAGCAGTTTCTAAAGTAAAAAAACAAACACTGTTAGACCAGCTGGACCAAATTTATATACTTACTTCTTATCGGAAATAGATACACCCATTAACAATCTATACATAAACATTCATTACATATATTAAAACATGTAATAACAACATAAAGATAAAAATACACCCACATATTAAAATATGTACATATGCAGGTATATGTTCCCAGAAAAAAGTATTAAAAATTGTATCAAAATCTTTGAAATAAAACTGTCAAAAAATGAATCCAATCATACTGTAACACTTGCCAAAGTTGAGACACTACACCTGTTACTTCAAATCAAGACTAGAAAGGATTAGAGGACAAAAGGACAAGAAACTGGCACTGTATTAACTAGTTGACTTATTAATAAAATAATAAATTATAACTGAGCTCGGGTAAAAGCTGAACGACTGCCAAATGAATTTATTAGAAATGCAAAATTAAATGTGCCCCACCATAAGAAACTAAAAATCATACCTTAACCCAGATCTGTGAATAGACCAGAATGTATTTGCTATGAGAAGTCTTTATGAAAAACAGTATTTAAGAATTAAATCTCAGGTCCATACTTATAAATCTCCTTTTTTTCTCCCCCTTCTCTTCAGGGATGAAATACAACTAATATTGCTCTTCCATTCAGAAAGTATAGCAGTCTTTCTATAAACACAGCCTTTTAATCACACTATGCAAACACAGACCTTACGAAAAAAAAAACACCAAAGCCAGAATCTACTCAGAAAACAACCTCAAACAGATTCACTGATGTGTTACTGTAAGTGCCAAACAAATTTCCTCATGTGCACAAGAATAAGGACAGAAGTTTCAGGTGTCTTACCTGTGCCAGCCTTCGTTTTTCCGAGTTCTCTCTTTTCTCATAATGTAATGTGTAGACAGGAGCAGCCCGTACTGCACCAGCACTGCAACTTCCATACTCTCCTTCACTCTCCTACAACAAAACAGTTTTAAATTCCTTTATTTATAATCATTATCTGCCAATGTACTCTCCACGTTATGCATGCAGAATGCATTCAAAATTATCTTGCCACACTCTACTACTGTCATGAAAATACCATCTGTAGTATGAAAATCAGATTTAGCTTTTCAGGAAGCTGAATTATCAACACTGTCATTTAAAAGATTAATTGTTCAAATGTCTAGGAAATATTTTTGAAAGTTTTCTTAAAATAGCATAAAATATATTTAAAAATGGT